GTAAAAATAGTGTTTTAATAAGTTCTTTACATAGAGGCAGTAGTTGAAGCCATGAAAATAAGTGCTATTGCCAAAGTAAGAGTGGAGACAGAGAAGGTCAAGGATAGAAATGTGGAGAGTGCTTTGCTTGTAAACAGCAGAGGAATCATAGGAAGTGCTGGAAGCAGCAGTCAGACAAGTAAAAAGAGAAGAAGACCGAGGTGGTACATGAGATGGAAGGAAGGCAAGGAGGAGAGAGGAGGCATCCAGAAAGAGAGGCCACCCTCCCAGGCAAGAGGTTCCTAAAAGCTCCCAGAGGGATTCCTATGTGCATCTAGGTTTGGGAACACAGCACTGTCAAGTCAATAGAGAAATGAAAAAATAAAAGGGTTCAGTGTGACTCAGCTGACCCTTGAGAATGTGGGATTTTTCTCCTAAGGGTATGGTCCGCTCATAAAGGAGCTCATATTTGCTGTAGGATTTCAAGGCTATCGGACTGGTCCTCTAAGCACCACCACCAGCCAGTTGAGGACTAGCATTTGGGGCACATGTTGGTACTCACCACTGCTCATTGTCCCCCTTGCAAGACATTTCTTTGATGAGAGCTTACAAGTGTTGGGAGAAACTAGGTCTGCTGAGCCTATTTTGCTCTGTCTTCTCAGAGTCTGTCATAGGGAACTGCATGGATAGAAGTTCTCCAGGACAAGCAATGGAGCTTCCAGATCACAATGGGCTTGGGTACTCAGCACGCTCCTCAGTCAGCGAGCACCACAGGCCCCGGACCCTTCAGAGACACCATACGATCCAGAACAGTGACGATGCTTACGTACGTTGGTCCCCTTCTTCTTCTTGGAGGTGGGGATTCTACCGATCCCAACCTTGAAAACAGAACATAGTAACGTGGGGCAGCATCTATACCAGTACTCTTCTCAGTCTGAGTCTAGCACCTCAGGGAACCATGGGAGCAGCTCTTTGAATTACCCTAATAGGCCAGCTCCAGTAAAAGCTCAACAGAATCTGTAGTCCAAATTTTAGACTGAAAAATTAACAATGGTTGTCATCTGCTCATCTAGTCTAAACTCAGGTTCCAGCAAATGAATCCTTAGGTTCTTGGTTAGTTTTCTGACAGCTACATTGAACTTACTCAAATAGTGGTAGCAAGTCTGCAAAGCTTTCCTTTCTTGGGCAAACAACTAGGGCCGCACTGTCTATATAGTAGCAACTAGTCACGTGTGGCTATTCAAATTTAAATTAATTAAAATTAAAAAATTAGTGCTTCATTCGCACAGTCACATTTCAGGTGCTCAATAGCCACATGTGGCTAGTGGCTGCCATACTGGGCAGGGAAGATAGAGAATATTTCCATTATTGTACAGTGTTCTAATGGACAACACTGTCCTAAGACAAACTCCTCGTGATGATGGGGATAGGGTCAGAAACCTGGTTTTAGAAGGACAGGTAGGTGTCAAGCAGATCTAACCACCAGCTGAGATTCACTGCACCCCCATCCCCACCCACTCCCCTGGTCACAGGCTGGGGTAGTTTCTTACACTGTCATCACTGCAGCATCTCCTTTAGATGGGGCTGCAGAGGAAGGGCATTTGGGGGTACTGCTTGGGATTGGTGCCCAAGGTTGCCCTTTGCCTGGCATCTTTTAGAATGAACATCTGTCTCTAAGGGACTGGCATCCTTAATTCTTTTCCTAATTGTTTTCTGCAGGTACAGCTGGATAATTTGCCAGGAATGAGTCTCGTGGCCGGGAAAGCACTTAGTTCTGCCCGGATGTCAGATGCAGTTCTCAGCCAGTCCTCACTCATGGGGAGCCAGCAGTTTCAGGATGAAGATAATGAAGGTAAGGGGCCTTATGCATGGGGCACCCCAGAGAGGTTCCTGGAGGTGGTCCTCCCTCCATCTTTGCAGTGACTGCCCCCCTTTTCTGTGTAAAGAGTTCATGGGGAGGCAGAGCCACAGCACCCCCAAGGGGTTCTGGACACAAAGCCCTTCCCCACTTCTCCCCAGAATGTGAGTACTTAAAGGAGCATGCCTTCTGGCTGAGTACAGGAGATCCCATTTCTGTTTCTAATGCTTTGTTAAGATACTTCTTTAATGACAGTTTTTCTGGTTTGGGTTAGTGAGTGTTGTGTACCTCCTCTAGGGAGGGGAGGGTATCTTAGCAGATAAAGCCTAGGGCTTGGACTGGACAGGTCTGCAGTAAGTCCCAACTCTGCTCTTTTCAGGTTCTATAGGCAAGGTGCTTAACCTTTCTAAGCCCCAAGGTCCTCATCTGTAAAGCAGCAGAAAAAATAGAACCTATATCCTAGATTATGCAGTGAGGGTTAACTGGCTTAATGCATATGAAGTACTTGGCACAGTGCCTGAATACAGAGAGTACCCAGTATTTGGTATCTGTTGGCAGTAAAATTACTGTCTTCACCCTCAAAGAGGTAAGTCTTTCTGAAGGAGCGGTTCTCTCTCTTCTCCCACTCTGTAGCAGTTGATTGTACTTGAGGGTGGGAGAGGGTAAAGGAAAAGGGACAAAGAGAGGAAAGGAACACTTAGAGGAGAATATGGGAATAATCCTGGACCCCAGCCCTACTGTCACTAAACAAATAGATGCCCGCTATCAGCTGAGAATTGAGGGCTGGGAGTCAGGTTACTCCCCTGGTGCTCACACAAGTTGCCTTCTCTTTCTCTCTCTCTCCCTGCTACCCACCTACCCTCCTGGCTCCCTGCCAAGCTTACCTGTTCTTTCTGGTCTTGCAGAATGTAGGGAGAGTCTGCAGGGTCACGAGCACCCAGACCTGACTGATGGCAGCCAGCACTTAAACTCCTCTTGCTATCCATCTACGTGTATTACAGACATCCTGCTCAGCTACAAGCACCCTGAGGTCTCCTTCAGCATGGAACAGGCAGGCGTGTAACAAGAAACGGAGAGTGAGTATCGCCCTGGTCAGGGCCAGACCAGACCTTTGGGCAGTACCAGCTCCTGATCCTATCACGAGATTTATCCCACGTGTAGTGGCCAGAACTGTGAAATTGACAAGTGCCATTCTTCCGCTCATGGCTTTCCCAGCTTCTAGCTTTTTCGTTAAGCACTGCACTAGTTGGGTCTTTGTTTTTGGGGTGTTTCTTTATTGGTGGGGAGGGATACAGAAGCAGTGCTGGACATAGTCCCTTGGTTGAATTATGGGAGACAAGACACATTTCCCACATTGTGTTAAAAGTGCTATAGTCTCTGTTGGGACAGTAAGTGAGCTATAGTTTGCGAGGTAGAGGTGACCTATAGCCAGGGTAATAAGGAAGGGGGGTAGTCCTTAAACTTGGTCCTAAAGGATGAAACCCAGCAAGAAAATGTATTTTTTGTGGCTGTACAGAAGCACGTGGCAGAATATTCTAGCCAGGGGAAATATATGATGAGAGACTAGTGGTAGAAAATGGGTAAATTGACCAGTTTGGCTGGATTAATGCCTATAAGTATACAGTAGGTATTACTGGTTCTGTCTTTGAAAAATCTTTGTCAGAAAAGACTTAATGAGGGTTAAGCCATTTGGCAAATCCGTATCAGAGCCTCAATATGGCAAGCCGCTTAAAATACCTAAGGTAAATGTGAACCTTTTTTTTTTTTTTTTAAAGTTTTCAATTGAATATTTGAGCCTTTCACTTTTCAAACTAATTCTTGTGTGTCTGCTCTGTTGCAGGTTTTGTGTACAGCTTGAGAAGGAAAAAGTTCATTTTAAACCAACAGTATCTAGCAGCATTGCACCAAATTGCCATTGTGTTCTCTCCACCCAGAATATTGTGGCTCCTTTGCTCACATTTGGTTCATCAGTGTGCTGTTCTTCGGGGTTCTGAGGGGGTTTTGCCATGTTTGCTTGTATGACCGAGTCACCGAGGAAATAAACAGGACATCTTTGTTCTTCACCTTTTGTGAAGGTGCATTTGGTGTATTTGAGTTGATGGGGTTTTTGGGGTGTTTTTTTTTGGGGGGGGGTTCCCCCTTTGGTTATGTTTTCTTCTGGAGGTGATTTATTTTCTTTCTTCCCTTCTCCCCTTACCTCTTTCTTCCCTTTTCTCCTTGCCTCTTTTCCTTTTTTTCTCTCTCTCCTTCCCTCCCTCCCTTTCTCTCTTAAGACGAGAGCAAAGCAGTTAGAGTACAGAGGCCAGGGGACTCAGAGCCACCCCACTCCTCAGCCGTCATTCACAGAACACCCTCCATTCACCTGCACTGTTCTCCCATAGGAGCAAACACTAAAGGATAATATCCTCTAGAATCGTAGTGGCTGGGGAAAGGAGAGGAAGGAAGAGGTGGTGGCCCCTGGCACTTGGAGAACAAAAAAGAGTGTAAGAAATCCCAAGCCTGGAACCTGAGGGGTCTTTACTGCTGGGTTCCACGTCTGGCCCAGCCAAGATCGTATCAGAGCTTTAGCCTGGAGGCTGAGTGACCTGGTAAATTGATGGGTTGCCAGTTAGAATGTCTCCATTTGAACCCTCTCTCTGGTGGTATAACTCAGCTCCCCTCTTGTAACCTGAGAAGTTGGTTGCCTTTATCATCCTGCTGGTTCTACCCATGGTCTGAACACCCAGTAATGGTGCACTATGCTTTTTGTGTCATCTTTCATTCTCATTTTATATTGTGCTGTAAGAAGGATTGTTTCTCCTTATATATATAAATATATGTATGATTTTCCCTTTCAGCCTCTTTGTCACAGGCAAGAAGAATAAATACGAGGTTGTCTCGGGTCCTGCCTCTCTCCTAACCTCCTTCTCATCCCTGGGCATCCTCAGCCTCTATTTTAATTCTTGATCATGCAGGAATTGTTTTTGGTAAATGCTGATATTATTGTTATTATGATTATTAATAAATAACGACAAAAGGGATTTTTGTTTAAAAGAGAAAAGTTTAACCAGATTCTGTTCTGTTTGAATTGTGACTTGCACCTTTTGTTCAAAGTATTTTTTTTAGACATTGTAATCGTAAACAGTTCTTCCTTGTGCCAGTGACAGATGTAGTGGTCTTCTTTCCCCTGTTGAAGCAGTGCATATACAATAGCTATTGTTTGTATTGTTATCTTTATTTTTCTTCACTGTTAGAAACCAAAGTCTTCTCTGCTGGCTGGGGGCTGAGAGAGGATCTGGGTTATCTCCTTCTTATCTTCAAAACAAGAAAGAGATGTTAAATGTTCTGACTCTTGATCCTTTTTCCTGAGAGAGTAAAAGGTCCCTAGTCCCCTCCTAGTCTTTCCCCCTGAATTTGCACAGAAGAAAGCGGGTGCCCAGCATGGCCATCCTGGTGTTGCTGGCAGGATCCCCAGGCAGCTTGCTCTCCTCCACTGATACTGGCAGCTCAGGTCTTGGACCTACTACCCTCGAATGGATTTCTGCAGCACAAGGGCCCTTCTCCGGATGTAGCCCATATTTCCATGGTCCCCAATCTCCCCTCCACTTGGTGGGACCATCAACTACTCAGCAAAAGGGGGCTTCCAAGAAAGCCCCAAAAGCTTGTTTGATTTCTCTGGGCTCTTTCCAACCCTGAGGCCCCTCTGACCGCCCCCTCCCAACCACCACCACATGCTCTGCCTGTTCTGTTTACATGATAGTGTATGTGTGGAAGAGCAGATTGCCACCCTCTAGCAACCACCCAGATGAAAGCCAGTGAGCCTATTAATGTGCCATCTTGCAAACTACACTTTTAAAAGAAATCATTGCTTTGTATTGTAGTAACCAATATGCGCAGTATATGTTGAATGTATATGAATATACTTTACTATTTCTGTTATTTGAAAACGTCAGAAGTATTTTTTCTTTCTCATTTATGTTGAACTAAAAAAGGATTAAAAATCTCCAGACCTATGTTGCAGTAAGACCTTTAGTCCTTTTTTTGTGGGGCACTTACAATTCAGTAACTTAGCTGGGGATAGTCGAAGATTATGAAAATAAAAACCTGATTATGATCTTATGTGGACATGTTATTTGCCTTGCGGTTCGGAGTCTAGCTGGGAGAAGCATCCCGGTGGATGGAAGTTAGAAACACTGGAGGCTGGCAAGTTCTCCCGGGCTCTAGGGTGGAGCTTTGATAGCTATCATTATCTCTCTCCGCCTCCTGAAACTAGCGTTCTCCAGAAGCCTGGACTCGACTTCACACTGTGTCCCCAGGCACCCAGCTTGGATTCTGTCCCCTCAGAAGAGAGCATTGGAGTTTGCTGAATCTGATGAGAAACAAGTTCCTTGAGAGGGTACTTTTGAAGAAGAGGGAGGGAGGACCACAAAGAATTGGCCCAAGCTGGGGCCTTTAGAGGTGACCCCCATCAGTCCAGTGATATGATCGCCAAATAAGTGTTAGGATAGAAAGGGAACTTTTCCTATGGTTTTCCCCTTTTCCACACCCAGACTCCAAAAGCCAGAGCAAAATTTTCACCAAGAGCCTAGGCAAGTCTTAAGAGCTGACTGAAGGACTTCTATGAAGAAAGATGACTGGAGCGTGGAAATACTGACAGTTTGTAGAAAGAAGTATGAGAGAAGGGAACTTACATCAGCCTTCAAGTCTGTGGTGGACTAGAAAGTGGGACCGTCTTGGTCATCTAGTGCTGGTATAACAGAAATACCACAAGTGGATGGCTTTAACAAAGAGAAATTTATTTTCTCACAGTCTAGTAGGCTTCAAGTCCAAATTCAGGGCGTCAGCTCCAGGGGAAGGCTTTCTCTCTCTGTCGGCCTTCTCATCGATGTTCCTCTGGACTAGGTCCAAAGGACGCACTCTGCTCCCGGCACTGCTTTCTTGATGGTATGAGGTCCCCCTGTCTCTCTGCTTGCTTCTCTCTCTTATAGCTCAAGAGATTGCCTCAGCACACAATCCAATCTTGTAGACTGAGTCCTGCCTTACTAACACAACTCACCCATCCTCCCTCATTAACATCACAGAGGCAGGATTTACAGCATACAGCAAAATCACACAATACAGGGAATCATGGCCCAGCCAAATTGATAACCACACATTTTTGGGGGGACATAATTCAATCCATGACAGACCGTTTAGAAATCCTTTTGAATCCGTCTATACACATGCTCACTTAAGGCTAGGTGAGTCTGGAACCACGAAGAGTGATATGCCCAAACGCCTTCCAACCACTTCCAACCTTTTGCAATAGGCACCACGCCAGAAATCATCCAGGGTGCCTTTGGGCTAGAGGTAGGATGAGCTTGGAGAGGAAACGCGAATATAGACCCAGAGATCCCTGCACTCTGGAAAATAGAAGCCATCCAACAAATCCTTACTCTGTCATCTTCCTAACGTGGTAGCAGGCCCCAACTGCAAGGATCAAGAAGTCAGAGGTGCCTCCCAAGGAGCCAGACCTCGGTCGTGCTGGTCACAGATGAACTCTTGGTCTACACAGGAAAGCAGCAGAGAATCTTGTATCTAGTTGGTTACAATGCCCTACCCTAGGAGCTAAACTGGGGCTCCTATCACCAAAAACAGCAACAAAATTGCCAAATATGAAAAACGGGGCAGGGGGTGGGGTAGCTCTCCACAGCTCAACCAGAACCTCCACCTGACCCCCACCCCTAAGTATCGCATCTCATCCTGCACCACACACCCTCAGATGATCTGAACAGGGGTCTGTGGTCCAGGGCAAGGTGCTCAAGAGTTTCCCAAATCTCCTCCCAGGCATGTTCCTTCATATGACCCCTGACATCCTGGAACCCTTCCTTTAGTGTGCCAGTGTCATTCGTTGTTGTTGTTAGGTACCGTGGAGTCAGTTCCGACTCATAACGACCCTGTGTACAACAGAACAAAATACTGCCCAGTCCTGCACCATCCTCAGTCATTGCTATGTTTGAGTCCATTGTTGCAGCCACTGTGTCAATCCATCTCATGGGTCTTCCTCTTTTTCACTGACCCTCTACTTTACCAAGCATGATGTCCTTCTCCAGGGACTGACTGGTCCCTCCTGATAACATGTCCAAAGTACGTGAGACGAAGTCTAACCATCCTCGCCTCCTAAGGAATATTCTGGCTGTACTTCTTCCAAGAGATTTGTTCGTTCTTCTGGCAGTCCATGGTGTATTCAATATTCTTCACCTACATCATAATTCAAAGGCATCAATTCTTTCTTTTTCATTGTCCAGCGTTGGCTTGCATATGAGGTGACTGAAAATACCATGGCTTGGGTCAGGCATGCCTTAGTCCCCAAGGTGACATCTTTGCTTTTTAACACTTCAGAGGTCTTTTGCAGCAGATTTGCTCAATGCAGTATGTCGTTTGATTTCTTGATTGCTGCTTCCATGAGCATTGATTGTGGATCCAAGTAAAAAATCTTTGACAACCTCAATCTTTTTTCCGTTTATCATGATATTGCTTATTGGTCCAGTTGTGAGGATTTTTGTTTTCTTTATGTTGAGGTGTAATCTATACTAACAGCTGTAATCTTTGATCTTCATCAGTAAGTGCTTCAAGTCCTCTTCGCTTTCAGCAAGCAAGGTTGTGTCATCTGCATAACGCAGGTTGTTAATGAATTTTCCTCCAATCCTGATGCTGCATTCTTCATATCATCCAGCTTCTGGGATTATTTGCTCAGCATACACACTATGTGCGGTGAAAGGATACAACCCTGGCACACACCTTTCCTGATTTTAAACCATGCAGTATTCTCTTGTTCTGTCTGAACGACTGCCTCTTGGTCTATGTACAGGTTCTGCACATGCACAATTAAGTGTTCTGGAACTCCCATTCTTCGCAATGTTATCCATAATTTGTTATGATCCACACAGTCAAATGCCTTGCATAGTCAATAAAACACAGGTAAACATCTTTCTGGTATTCCCTGCTTTCAGCCAAGATCCATCTGACACGTCCTCTTCTGAATCTGGCTTGAATTTCTGGCAGTTCCCTGTCGATGTACTGCTGCAAGCGTTTTTGAATTATCTTCAGCAAATTTTACTTGCATGTGACATTAACGATATTGTTTGATAATTTCCTCACTCTGTTGGATCGTCTTTCTTTGGAATGGGCACAAACATGGATCTCTTCCAGTCGGTTGGCCAGGTAGCTATCTTCCAAATTTCTTGGCATAGATGAGTGAGAACTTTTAGTGTTGCATCCATTTCTTGAAATATCTCAATTGGTATTCCGTCAATTCCTGAAGCCTTGATTTTTGCCAGTGCCTTCAGTGCAGCTTGGACTTCTTTTTTCAATACCATCGGTTCTTGATCATATGCTATCTCCTGAAATGGTTGAATGTCGACCAGTTCTTTTTGGTACAGTGACTCTGTGTATTCTTTCCATCTTCTTTTGCTGCTTCCTGTGTCGTTCAATATTTTGGCCATAGAATCCTTCAGTATTGCAAATCGAGGCTTGATTTTTCTCTTTAGTTCTTTCAGCTTGAGAAATGCCAAATGTGTTCTACCCTTTTGGTTGTCTAACTTCAGGTCTTTTCACATTTCATTATAGTACTTTACTTTGTCTTCCTGAGCTGCCCTTTGAAATCTTCTTTTCAGCCCTTTTACTTTATCATTTCTTCCATTCGCTTTAACTACTCGATGTTCAAGAACAAGTTTCAGAGTCTCTTCTGACATCCATTTTGGTCTTTTCTTTCCTTCCTGTCTTTTTAACGACCTTTTGCTTTCTTCATGTGTGATGTCCGTGATGTTATCCCACAACTCACCTGGTTTTGGTGTTCAATGCTTCAAATCTATTCTTGAGATGGTCTCTAAATTCAGGTGGAATATACTCAAGGTTGCACTTTGGCTCTCATGGACTTGTCTGGATTTTCTTCAGCTTCACTTGAACCTGATTATGAACAATTGATGGTCTGTTCCCCAGTCAGTCCCTGGCCTTGTTCTGATTCATGATATTGAGCTTCTCCACCGTCTCTTTCCACAGATGTAGTCGATTTGATTACTGTTTATTTCATCCGGCGAGATCCACGTGTATTTAAAAAAAAAAAAGACCAAACCCGTTGCCGTTGAGTCAATTCCAACTCATAGCAACCCTACCAGTAGAACTGCCCCATAGGGTTTCCAAGGAGTGCCTGGTGGATTCCAACTGCCATCCTTTTGTTTAGCAGCTAAACACTTAACCACTACGCCACTAGAGTTTCCTCCACATGTATAGTCACCATTTATGCTGCTGAAAAAAAGATATTTCCAATGAATAGGTCATCGGTCTTGCAAAATTCTATCATGTGATCTCCAGCGTTGTTTCTATCACCAAGGCCATATTTACCAACCACTGATCCTTCTTTGTTTCCAACTTTTGCATTCCAATCAGCAGTAATTATCAATGCATCTTGATTGCATGTTTGATCAATTTCAGACTGCAGAAGTTGGTTAAAATCTTCAATTTCTTTATCTTTGGTATTAGTGGTTGATGAATAAATTTGAATAATAGTCGTATTAAGTGGTCTTCCTTGTAGGCATATGGATATTATGCTATCACTGTATTTCAGGATAGATCTTGAAATGTTCTTTTTGACAATGAATGTGATGCCATTCCTCTTCAGTTTGTCATTCCCGGCATAGTAAACCATATGATTGCCCAATTCAAAACGGCCAGTACCAGTTCAATTCAGCTTACTAATGTCTAGGGTATCTATCTTCAAGTGTTCCATCTCATGTTTGACAACTTCCAATTTTCCTAGATTCATACTTCATACATTCCATGTTCCAATTATTAATGGATGTTTGCAGCGTTTCTTCTCATTCTGAGTCGTGCCATATCGGCAAATAAAGGTCCCACAAGCTTTACTCCATCCACATCGTTAAGGTCGACTCTACTTTGAGGAGGCAGCTCTTCCTCAGTCGTATTTTGAGTGCCTTCCAACCTGAGGGGCTCATCTTTTAGCACTATATCAGACAATGTTCTGCTGCTATTCATAAGGTTTTCACTGGCCAATTTTTTTAGACGTAGATAGCCAGGTCTCTCTTCCTAGTCTGTCTTAGTCTGGAAGCTCTGCTGAAATCTGTCCACCATAGGTGACCCTGTTGGTATTTGAAATAGCAGTGGCAAAGCTTCCAGCATGATAGCAATACACAAGCTACCTTCATTGAGCAGTGTCATTCATTAAGCAATATTTGTTGAGTGTCTACAATGTGCCAGGCCTAGCAGGGGACAGAGTCCTCCCAGTGCAGACTGACCAGTACAAAGTTAGAACATACATTATGAAAGAGCAACTTGTTAACCCAAATGAGTCCCTAATCATTCTGAGCAAAATCCACTCCTGCAGTCGGCTGCCAGCACTCCAGATACGTCAGGGGATTCAGCACCAGCCACTTGATCCACTTCAGAAACAGCCGCTCTGGAGACTCTGAGCACCAGGAGAGGATGTGGGATTAACGGCCTGTGTCGGTGGGCCCTGCACCAACAGCCAGTTCGTTCAATGGGCACTCAGCGCCACTCGCACTGGCTGGACCCTCACAGTCTGACACTGATGAGCACAGCTTGATGTTTTTTTTCCATAAGCCTCTGTCCAGAAAGACTTCCTTCCTTTCCAAAATACTAGTAACAAGGGGATTGGGCTAGTTTAAACCAAATTATCTTACAATGAAATGGAATAGGCACAGTAGTGAACGTATTGAAAATGAAACTTTCCTGCTTGGTAAGATGCTGTCAAACAACATCCCCTACCCCAACACCTTGAGATTCCTGAGTCAGGAAACTGAGAAGTCTCTGGACAGAGACAGAGGCTATGGGAGCCAGGGGCCTTGCTGCCAGCCACCACAAAGAACTAGAAGCCAGGCCTCCTAATTCCTAGTCCTGGCAACACCAAATACTAATGGCTGTAGGATGCAGGGCAAGTCACTTAGCTGCTCTGAACTGCAGTTTTCTCATAGGCAAAATAACAATGGTAGTGTCTGGCCTGCCAGCCTTAAAGGGACATAGTAATTTACTGCTTTGGCACTAAGGAACTATGCAAATGTTGGATATTAGGTTTAGCCATAATAGTCATTTCAGTAAATAAACCAAAGGGAAGGGTGAAACAGTGGCAAGCTGCTTGGAGTTAACTGGTAAACCTCCCCCATAAGCTTGTTGGTATGACCAGTCTCCCTCCCACTACAGGCAGAAAGCTGGGATGGCAAAGTGGCTGCCCAGGCAGGCTGTTGACTGAGGCTACCTCCCACTCTGCACAACCCCACAGATCTCTGGGGCTGGTTCAGTCCTGGAAAATATGTCCTGCCTCTGAGCATCTACAAGTCAGGGGCAAGCAGAGAAATGTGGGATTCTTGCCTTCCCCCACTTCTGCTGCCAGAAGCTGAGGCCTTGGTTTAGTGCATCAAAATGGAAAGCTATCATTTGACAATGCAGGTGTGTTCATGGGAACAAGAGAATGAAATACCAGGAACTGGGATTCTAGGACACAGAACAGCTACTGTTTCGTAAGTACTAGGTACCCTTCTCAGGAGCCTTGGTGGCGTAATGGATAAGCACTTGGCTGCTAAGCGAAAGTTTGGCAGTTTGAACCCACCCAGTGGCTCTGTGGGAGAAAGTCCTGGCAATCTGCTTCTGTAAAGATTACAGCCAAGAAAACCCTATGGGGCAGATCCACTCTGTCACATGGGGTTGCTACGAGTCAGAATCGACTTAATGGCATCCAACAACAAGTCCCCCTTCTAACAGTGTTACACACATGTTATACTCGTTTCCTGTTGCTGCTGTAACAAATTACCACAAGGTTGTGTGCTTAAAACAACACAAATGGATTATCTTATAGTTCTGGAGGTCAAAAGTCCAAAATAGGTCTCGTTAGGCTAAAATCAAGGTGTCGGCAGAGGTGGGTTCCTTCTGGAGGCTCTAAGAGAGAATCCGTTTCCTTTCCTTTTCCAGCTTCTGGAGGCCATCTACATTCCTTGGCTCATGGGCCCCTTCCAGCAATTGCATCACTCTGACCTCTGCTTCCGTGGTAGCCCATCTGGATGATCCAGGATAATCACCCCCTCTCAAGGTCCTTAACTTAATCGCATCTGCAAAACTCCTTTTGCCATGTAAGGTAACATGTTCACAGGTTCCAGGGATTAGGACATGGACATCTTTGGCGGGGGGCATTGTTCTACCTACCATACATGTAATCCCTAGCTCTAGCAGATGGCATGTTCTATCATTATTTTCCTTTAACAGATAAGCAACTGAGGCATAGGAAAGTTATGCAACCTGCCCAAGGTCAAACAGCTAATAAGTGGCAGATCTGGGGCTCAGACCTAAGGTTGTCTGGCTCCAAAGCCACCTTTTCTGAGACGAAAGGCATGAGACTGGTTAGAAGGGGAGAGGCCTGGAGGCCAGTCACTCCAGGACCCAGCAGACTGGTTTCCAAGTGTTGGGGAGTTTCCTGAGTAGATGCTACAGGGCACATTTCCGCCCTGGGTCCTGAGTCCAGAGACCTGGATTTCAGGTCCAGCCCTGCCCCTAGCTCCCTGAGAGACGTTGAGCAAATTCCTTCCACTCTCTTCAATTTCCTCATCTATTAAGTGATGGGTGGGGAGAAGCTGGGGTAGTTGCTCTCAAAGCTCCTCCCAGCTTGGACACTGACAGGTTCTATGACTCAGGTCCTGTCAATGAGCTGGTGTTAGAGGTCCTGGACCTCCCCACAGAAACCTTACACAACAGCCCTGCAAACACCAACATACACACAGCACTTTACACTCAGAGGGTCTTGTGTGGTCCTCCAACAATTCTGCAAACTAAGCATTCTTGTCCCCATTTCACAGTTAGGAAACTGAGGCTCAGAGAAATTACATAATTGGCTCAAGATCCTCCAGCAAGTTGGAGACAAAATGAAATGAGAAACCGTGGTCTCCTGCCATCTCCTAGTCCAGAAGTCTTCCCTCCACAGCAGTGATTCCTAAGGGCTGGTATCCATCCTTACTTGTGTGTGATCAGATAAAAATATGAACAATGCAAAGAGTTTTCCATTAAGATAATATGTATTCAATTTAAGTGAGTCGTCCTTTATGCTGAGGTCATGCCCTTTCTGGGTGTTAAAAAGTCTTTTCTTTTTTGAAGTAATGGTCATGGTAGATAGTGGGTTTTCCGGGGGTGCAAACAGTTAACACACTTAGCTGTTAATTGAAAGGTTGGAGGTTCACATCTACCCAGAGGCACCTCAGAAGAAAGGCCTGGTGATCTACTTCCAAAAAAGCATTGAAAACCCTATGGAAGACAGTTCTACTCTGACACATGAGGTCACATGAGTTGGAAACAACTCGATGGCAACTGGTTAATATTTTTACATGACAAAATTAAAAGCTGACAACTTTGTGTTGGTCTGTAGAGCTTGTTCTGAAATGTTACAGGTCTCTGAAATCTCAAAGTCTTGGAGGTACTGAGCAACAACTCTCCCCAAACAACTGGTTACCGCCCCATGTTTCCTTAGGTCTTATGGGTTTGGGAGGTCTGCAGATGGGTAGAGAGAGGTGTGTAGGGATCTGTTGGGATTATACATGAGACAGAGTGTTTGTGGGAGGAATATCTGCTGCTTTTGCAGGGGAGGCGAGGAAGGGGGGAGGGCGGGGTGTGAAATAATCTCCCTGGAATGCAAAGGGAGCGGGGAGGGGAGGAAATCTCCCTGAAGAGTCCCAGCCATCCCCACTCCGCTTGCTGCGCAGGCACAATGGACAATGGTGCGCGCGAACACACACACACACACACACACACACACACACACACACCCACGATGAGAAAAGATGAGTGCAGCTGACCCCAACCCTGGGGACCCACAAGTCCACAACTACCCCTCTCCTGTCCACACCTGAACCCTTGAGCCCTGGCCCTGCGGCCCCTGCAGCTACCTGTTTGCCCACTCTATTTGCCAGGCCCCAGGCACAGCGCTGACCCTTGAACTCTAGGCTCCACATCGTCAGGACCAGTGAGCAGTGACAAGGCCCAGGTTGAGCTTATCAGCTGCCCAGCCCTGCCCCTGCCTGGAGATATAAAAAGGTCCTGGGAGCTGGCCACTCAGAGGTTCAGAGACTGTTGGGCGCTCGAGGTAAGTACTGCTGCCTACTCCAGACTCCCTAGCTCTAGGCATTCGAGGCTCAGGCTCTGGGATCCTGGCTCCAGATTCTGCCCCATGCAGGGGCCCTGGATACCTGAGTCCTTCCCCTACTTTGTAGCCCTCCTCCTCCCCTGGCTGGAATGAGTAGGGGAGCACAAGGCTCCCCTATGCTAGAGGCCTGCCTCTACTCAGCCAGGCCCCTTTTCTCCTCCAGGTCACCGACGTCCCTTCAGGATGAAGGCTGTGTTGCTGACCTTGGCTGTGCTCTTCCTGCCGGGTAGGTGGCCCCCAACCTAGGGAGTCAACCCTCAGGGGACCCTTCTCCCTAACCCCTGTAGTCCAACTTCCTGGGCACAGGGGGCAGGGTTTCACATCAGCCCTTGCACGGATGCCCTCTGCCCCTGCCTGGCATTCCAGCTCAGATCCCATCCCACACAGAGGCCTGATCTGGTTTCCCCTCCCACCCTCAGGGAGCCAGGCTCGGTATTTCTGGCAGCAAGATGTACCCCAGACACCTTGGAATCGAGTGAAGGATCTGGTCACCATCTACTTGGACGCGATCAAAGACAGTGGCAGAGATTATGTATCCCAGTTTGAAACCTCTGCCTTGGGAAAACAGCTCAAGTAAGGACCCAGCTAGGGCTCTGGGGCAGGGGCAGGGGCTGCTGGTCCTGGGGAGCAGAGAGGCCCATAGGAAGATGTTGTAGCCAGACTGGCCAAATTCTTACCTACTATTTGATGAGCTGGGTCCCATGGAAGGCCTGGATGAAGAGCCAGAAGTGGGATCCTCAGGCATGGTTAGAGCCCCCCAGCAAGGGCAGTACCAGTGTTGGCCAGGCAGTAATCACAGCACCACATCTGCCTGCAAGTGAACAACCCCGTTCCCATTCTGAACTACCTCCTCTGCTGGGCCCAGCCACGGTGGTGGCTGGCCTTAGAGAGGGAAAGAGACGTGAAGTATAGAAAGGGCCAGCTCTGGAGACAAGCAAGGGTGAGCACCAGGCCCAGCTCTGTCTCTTGCTAGTTGAATAATCTTGGTGAGTCACTGCAGCTCTCTGTTCCTCAGTCCATCTGTACAATGGGACCCTGGGGGATGGGGTGAGGCAGTGTATGGGAAAAGCTAGGCCGGGAGTGTGGCTCACAGCTATATCCTAGGCCTCCCCACAGGTAAGCTGGGGCCCTGTACCTTCAGGTCTGGGCGGCCCAGGGTCCATAGGAGGCCATCCCCTCAGCCCCTTTCTTCCCCTTCAGCCTGAAGCTCCTGGAAAACTGGGACACCGTGAGCAGCAGCTTCACCAGGCTGCAGGAGGAGATAGGCCCCGTAACCCAGCAGTTCTGGGATAACCTGGAAAAGGACACCGTCCATCTGAGGGAGCTGATGAACAAGGACCTGGAGGAGGTGAAGCAGAAGGTGCAGCCCTTCCTGGACGACTTCCAGAAGAAGTGGCAGGAGGAGGTGGCGCTCTACAGCCAGATGGGGCCGCTGGGCGAGGAGTTACGCGACAGCGCGCGCCAGAAGCTGCAGGAGCTGCAAGAGAAGCTGAGCCCTGTGGCCCAGGAGCTGCGCGACCGCGTCCGCGTCCGAGTGGACGAGCTGCGCACGCAGCTGACCCCCTACAGCGAGGAGCTGCGCCAGCGGCTGGCCCGCCGGCTCGAGACGCTGAAGGAGAGTAACCTGGCCAACTACCACACCAAGGCCATGGAGCAGCTGAGCGCGCTCGGGGAAAAGACCAAGCCGGTGCTAGAGGACTTCCGCCAGGGCCTCCTGCCCGTGTTGGAGAGCCTCAAGGTTAGTTTCCAGACCGCCATTGATGAGGCCACCAAGAAGCTGAAGGCCAGTGAGGGTCCCGCTGCCGCGGCGCCGTCAGCCTGATCCCGGGGCCCTCTCCTCCAGTCCTCCTTACCACCGTTGTGTTTCTTAAAATAAACGTTTCTAAATTGGGAAGCAGCTTCTTTCTTTCGGGACAGTGGCGATGAGGTACGGGGCGCTGGGGGGAACTGTCTGGGGAGCCGGGCGGAGGCTTTCGACCAGAAGGTACGGACTTCCGGTGTTGATTTTCCCACGGAAGCGCATCAGCTCTAAGCCCAGACGGGGCAGCTTCAGGGCCTTCCACAATGGACTTGCTGGGCACCTGGTCGGGCGGGCGGGGAGCGCGTTAGGAGTGAGGCAGTAGATGTTCCTTTCCTAAGGAGGACTCTACTAGCACTTCCAGCTAGAAAGGAAATCACAGAGGACCAGGCAAAGCAATGCTAAGTGCCTTCAAAGAACCTCTAAAACAATACTGTAACTCTGTTTGAGGAGGGTCTGGGAAGAGGGTTGGCTTTGCTGGGAGAAGTGGGTTTCCGGTCCTCAGAGCTGTGCAGGTGGGAGGAGCCAGGCACGTTGACATGTTCACAAGGGCAGATGACAGGAGCCTCTTCCAGCCCTCTGGCTCTAAGGGGGTTGGGGTGGCCTCAAGGAGCTATCGGGAATTGAAAGATTTGGGCAGGTTCAAATGAAGAGCTTGAAGCTTGCTCCTTCCTTCTTTCTTAATTCACCAAACTCTTGAACAAGTGCTTCCCTTTTCTTTTTCACAAAGGCAGCATCCCACTCCTCGCACTCCCACCTACCTGGAAACAGTCACTGTTTCCTCCAGCACAATTGTGGAAGCCAGCCATCACTCTCCTTCCTCACTCCCCAGTGAGGCTCCAAGCCCTGCCACCCCCTGTTTCTGTCAGCTCTGGCCTGAGTCAGAAAAATGATCACCACTTCTTGCAGGTAATTAGCACATTTTTATTTCTAAGATGCTTTCGTATCCATCACATCACGGCATCCTTCCCACAATCCTGGAGTAGGATGCCATTAAACCCATTTTACAAATGACGAGGCTGAAGCTTGGAGACGTGCAGTCACTCATGAAGGACGAAGAGCAGGATGGACCAGGTTGCTTTTTTAGGTCCATCTGCCCTGGGCTTCCCTAATTACTTTTTAAAAAGTGTGTGGCCAGGCACTCAAGTTCATACAGGCATGCACACACATAAATGCATTCTCCCATGCATATCCCTTTTCACAGCCTGCCCTTCCTCACACTCATGTACATACCCCCATGTGCATGCACACGGCTTCACAAATCTGAGCATTTATGGAGCCTTCCCTCCCTTGTCCCCACAGGGCCTTTGGTCTCCTCGAGCAGGCTCCTGGATAATCTGCCTCTCCTTTATCTCCAGTGTATTTTAACACCCTCCCGGTAAAGGAGTGGGCTTTTTAGTTCCCAACCATCCAGAACTACAATAGGTGTCAAGCCCAGATTTGGATGGAAACATTTTTCAGGTGTGGGGTACTGAGATCCCTGGTTCCAGCTGGGCTGGAAGAGAAGCCCAAGTGCATTTCCAAAGAAAAAGCAGATGTCTCCAAGTGGGGCACGGATGGGGCTGGATGTTCTGATGCCACCAAGATCTGTAAGGGAGTCTCCAACCCCTGGCATAGGAGTAACAAGGCTTTTTCTGTGCTAGCTCAGCAGAATATGGGTAGCTGACCTGGGCTAGAGGGCTGGCTGTATGGTACTAGGCAAGTGCCTTCACCTCTCTGAGCCTCAGTTTCTTCATCTGGAGAGTGAGGGCCCGCTTAAAGAGTCGTTCTCTGACGTGAACATCTTTGTGGAGACACAAAGGAAACAGCCTCTGTTGGGGTGACTTGAGTTCCTTCTTGGCTCCTAGGACACTTGCCCCCCACTCCAATTCTGATCCCAAGGGGACAATCAGCTCAGCCTGTAACAATGACAACCACTTACTAGGCACCTTTGATGTGCCAGGTGCTGTACCAAACACTTCTAACACCTCCTTGTTTCATTCTCACAACAAACCTGCACGGGAGGGTATTATTGTGCCCAGTTTACAGATAAGGAACTGAGGCTGGTATTCAGTGGTGGAGCCAAGACTAGAGTGTCACTGTATCTTACTCCAGCCACTACCCTATTCTGTCTCCCTTCCTTCAAGTGTGGTTGAGAGAGGCAGGTGGCCAGGTAGTGCCAGTCAGTGAAGGCACACAATCACAACTCTAATGATGAAATAACAGTGCCAGGCGCTGTGTCTGGATAGACACACTCAAGTCATGTTGTACAGCACTTGACAGTTTACCAAATATTTTCAAACCTATTATTCCGTGTGATCCTTCACACGAACTTGCCAAGGCAGGCTATTCCCACCTTAGAGATGAAGACTCTCAGGTCCCGAGACCACCCAACTGCTAGAGATGGGGAGGGCACTGGAACTCAGACCTGCCCAAGCTGGCATCAGTCCAGTGCCACCCGCAGAACAGCCTGATGCATTCCCATGCCCAAGCATATATGCCACACATGGGATGTCCAACTCATGGCAGCTTCTTGTCCAGCTTTATTGGGAGAGAGGGCAGCATGCCCTGGGGTAGGGCAGATCTGGGGTGGGCTGGGAGGGGTACTAAGAATGCTGTCCCTTTTAAGCGACCTTCGGGGGCAGCCCTGGAGACTGGAGGACCCAGGGAGCCAGCAGGACAGATGGGCAGGCAAACTTGGGGTGTCGAGTTCTCAGTGGTCTTCAGGGATCTGTTGGTTGGCCTAAGGGGTTGAGTCCCAGAACTGGGAGAGCTTGCTCTTAAATGTGCTCCAGTAGTCTTTCAGGGAGCTGACGCCATCGGTCACCCAGTCCCTGGGGGTTAAATCAGTGAGGGGAAGCGATAGAGGTGGGTGTGAAAGCATACGGGCAGAGGCAACCATGGGGCTCCCGCCTGTACCCCCACTGCCTATCCTTGCTGCCCCCTCAGCCTGGCAATGCCCCTGGGACCTCAGGCAGAAACCATCTACCAAAGGTTCCGACGGCGGTTATGGGACAGAGGCTGTGGGACCCCAGCACAAGTCTAACCTCCCATGTTTCTCCATGTTAGGTCAGACCCTCGTTCCGCCACAGCCTGAGGCAAGCTGGAGTGGAGTGACTTGAGCAGGGAGATGTAAGGGCGGGGCTGTCGTGTTGCAGCGTGTTCTATGTGAATGGTGCTTCTGGAGTTGTACCATCTGGTGGTACAACTGTGGGAGGCAACCTCTCAGTGGGAAAATCACTGGATGATTGCTTAACTGTGTGATCTGGAGCAGGTCACCTAACCTTTCTGAGCCTCAATTTTCTCATCTGCAAAATGGGGAAAATAGTACCTACTCCACAGCCTTTTCTGAGGGTTAAGAATGTTTGTGAACATGCCCGCTATGTAGGTGCTGGCTGAGTGGAGGTGGGGAAGGGAGCTGGCGAGAGGAGAGGACAAATGGGCAGGATCAGGGGTGAGGGGTGAAGGACAGACTTTGCCTCACACTGGCCCCAGGGCTGGGCCAGTCAGCATCAAGTTGACCCCGATTCAGGTGACCCGTGTGTGTTAGAGTAGAACTGTGCTCCATAGAGTTTTAAACGGCTGATTTTTCAAAAGTAGATCGCCAGGCCTTTCTTCTGAGGCAGGAAGGGGAACTTCCAATCTTTTGGTTAGCAGCCAAGCACATTAACCCAGGCGCTAGTCCAAGAGGGCGCCAGACGAGGCGCAGAATTACATTCCGAGGTGCCACAAATATGAAAGGTACTTGACTGAGGCAGCCAGACAAAGGAGGGAAGGTGTTTCTGCTGACACCTTGCCGCTATCAACGTCTATTCGTCTTGAAATTCGAGGGGAGAGGGAGCTCGCTCGTTATCCTCGCTATGTCCCTGCATTAACCATTTTCCACCCAGGGACTCCCCAGGCTAGGAAAATGACTGAAAAACAGCCCTCTGGGCTGAAATGGATTGGGTAGGGGCTCCCAAGCGAAACCTCCCACCAGTCTGTCAGAAAAGGAAAGTAGAAGTGAAGGCGAAAATGGCCTACCTTAAGGCAGAGAGAATGTAGGAAGAAGAGGCCAGAAGGAGACAGGAGGAGCGTCCCCACCTCAGTCATCTACCCCACTGCCCCTGACAGAGCACTGTGAGTGGGACCCCATTTTATAGAAAAGTGCATTGAGGCTCAGAGAGGCACAGGCCCCGGCTGGTGTGGGAGAGCCATGGGCCCAATGTCAAGCTTTCTCTCCACGTCTGGGGCTGGCATCTGCCAGGGCAGCTGGGAGCTGACGTGGAGGTCGGGGAAGGGAGGCTGGTGGCATACCTGGCCTGCTGGGCCATGTGGGACTCCTGCACCCTGGTCATCGCATCCTGGGCGGTCTTGGTGGCGTGGTGCACATAGCCCTGCATGACGTCCAGAAGGGAGGCATCCTTGGGCTCTGGCTCGGGCTCAAGAGCTCCTGTGGTGAGAGCAGGGCTGAGCTGAGTTGTCGGGCCTCCAGGAGAAACTCTCAAGTCCTGCTAGCCACCCATCAGGCTCAGGGTCCCCAAGCCACCTCCTGAGGGTTCTCCAGGCAGCTGGCTGCCCCCAACTCACCCCCAACCCATTCCCCACAAAGTGCTTACGGGCAGTGACCAGAAGTGTGAGGAGGGCAGCAACGAGAAGGACCCTGGACTGCATGGCACCTTTGTTCCTGTAGGAAGTGTCCTGTGATGAGCATCCAAGTCCCCCCACCCTCACTGCTGGGTCCCTCCCAGGGGAAGTGGTGTGGCCCCTGCAGTGGAACCTGAGTTGGGGCAACCCTGGAAGAGAGGGGCCTGCTCCCATGCTAGTATGGGAGGCAAAGGGCTCTCAGACAGGGGACTCCAGGAGGCCCAGGCCCAGAAGGAGGGAGGTGTGGGATGGAGTAGAAAACCCACCAGGGTAGGAATTGAGGCACCTGGGTTCTGGCCTGGGCTCTGCCACTAACATGCCGTTTGACTTTGGGTAGATTTCTGTCCCTCTTCAGGCCTCATTTTTTTCTGTCTGGGGTAGGACTGGGTGTCTGAGGCTTCTTCCAGCCCGAAACATGCAGAACAGGGGACATTGTGCAGATTTGGAGCAGACAGCTCTGGGTCCCAGTTCCAGCTCTGTCACTACTACACTGTGCGTGGCTTTAGGCAGGTGGCCCCCCTCCTGAGGCCCGTGCACATCAAGGGGCAGCACTTATGAAGCCCTAACGCGTTTTTGACTCCAGTAAGCTCCTCGCCAGGCTTCGCTGCTGGGTTGGGCAGGGATCTTCTTCTGCCTCTCGCTATTCTGCTCTCCTCCCCATCCTTGAGCCCTCCCCCTCCCCAGGGGGCATTACCTGGAGCAGCTGCCTCTTGGGATGAACTGAGCAAGCAGGCAAGAGGGTTCTCACCTGTCTTATATTGTCCCCAGGGCAGTGGGCACTGACAGCCCAGTGAGCCGGACAAAGGTCACATGCTGACCAGTCCAGACCAGAGCCTGAGGCACGGTGGCCAGGTGCAGCCAGGCCTGCTGGGAGAATTGGGAAATCTCTAGGAAGCTGTGGGTGCCTACACTGCTCTCCTGCCACCCCCTGCAGCCAGATGGGCTCAGAAACTGGGGGTTAAAGAGGCTGGGGAGACCCCATTCCTTCCTAGCAGACTGGCTCCCTGGGGAGAGGCTGGTGTGATGGGAGAGAGGGGCTTAGGGGACAAGCCAGGGGCCTCAGGGCCCATATCAGTCCTTCATTCTTGAGTTTTCAGTTCCCTCAGTCCATCCCCCCAACACACACCCCACTCCCTCTACATCACCAAGCCCTGAAAACAGCCTGGATGGGGGTGAACGGGGTAGAGCCATGGGCTTCTTCAGACTTGGGAGCAACCGTCCTCCTCTCAGTGGGTTTGAGTGGGGGCACATCTAGAGAGTGCAGTCGTGTGTGGGGAAGCAGTGACCCAGTTGAGCACACAGCCCCTTCCCCAGCATCTCCACCTCTGGGCTTCAATCCCAGGCGCTGCTTACCCAGAAGCCTCTCCCAGCTAAGCCCAAGGGCAGAGGTTGATGGGAGAGAAGCAAAGTCCACTCTGAGCCCAAGGCCTTTGTTCCTCCCCCCCTTCCCTCTTCCTCACCTTGCCCTCTGGACCCACTGATAACATTCCCTAGAGCAGGAGCTGGGCTCATGGCTGGGGCCCTCCCCTCAAGTGTGGCAGCTGGGACTGGTTCCCAGCGCTGAGTGCCCTCAACCTTGGGCCTCAGGTTCCTCAGCTCAGAAATAGCAGTCCTCATAGACCCCTGGCCAGGTGGCAGCTGGAAGGAGCAGAGGCTGTGGCAAGGACTGTCTGGTGGAGAGAGGGCGGCAAAGGAGCTCGGCAGGGCCAGTTGGCTGTCCAGGAGAGGCCTCAGACCCTTCTGGTGGGGTGAGGTGTCTCCTGCACTTACACTGGGAGCTGTAGCCCCATGACAGAATCAAGGCTTTGTTTTCTGGATGCTAAGACTTTGAAGCCAAGACTCTAAGGTTTTACTGATGCCTTTGGCTGTTACTTATATGACCCTGGACCAAAGATCCAACATCGTAGAGCCTCAATTTTCTCCTCTGTAAAATGGGGACAGAATACCAATCTCCCAGAGTTGTGGTGAGAAGTAAATGAAATAATATGCAAAGCAGCTGGCTTATGAAGGGGACTTAATAAATCTTTCTTTCTTCCTCAACACCATGCCTTTCCCTAGATAGCATAGTCTAAAAGCAGGAGGAGCCCCTAGGGCAGAAATAGGGCTTTAGGCAGGTGGCCATTCCTCAGGAAGAAGTAACTAACTACACAGTTTAAAATCAGAGGCCTGAGAAAGTGTCCTGGGCATATCCTCAGAATTCTTTATCCATAGCTGAGACTTGAAATTCCTCTATTACAGATTCATTCCTTTGGCTTAAACCTTTGTTGTCCGCTAAAATGTAAACAGTCAGGATCCTGTGAAGTACACGTTATAAACCCCATTTTTTTTTTTTTAATATTTTATTGTACTTCAGGTGAAGGCTTACAGAACAGATAGTTTCTCATGTAAC